CCTTTAGTGTTTGTTAGGTGCCGTAGGAAATAGGCTACCTTCTTTGCTGCTGCTACCTTTATTGCTATATGGTGTTAGAAGGTGAGTCTCCTATCAAACCAGACCCCTAGCTATCTTATAGGCTTAGTTGAGGCCTTAATAGTTAGGCCTCTCGCTTGGATATCTAGTAGGTCTGTTGTCTGTTTATGTTTTCTGCTGAAGTGGATTGCCTCACACTTAGCTGGGTCAAAGGCGACTTTATTTTCCGTTCCCCAGCTGAGGATACTAGTGATCTCCTGGCCTAGGGCTGTAGCATTCTCTTCTAGCGAGGGGCTAGTAGCTACTAAGCCTATATCGTCTGCATAGCCAAACCGTAGCTTCTGATCGTCAGCTAGGATATCAGCTATATAGAGCAGGAAGAGGATAGGTGACAGCGGAGAGCCTTGCGGTAGTCCACAGGAAAGAGGGAAGTCCTCAGTAGTAGTATCCTCTAGCCTGACGCAGGCTGTTCGGCTGGAGGTGAAGGTGTAGACCAGTCTGATCAGGCTGCTAGGCCAGCCCTGCTGTCGTAGCCTGACAATAAGTTGGTTTCATAAGACGGAATCAAACGCCCCCTTAACGTCTATTATTGCTAGCGTCGCAGTAAGCCCTATATCTAGAGCCCTCTTAATCTCATAGGTTAGACAGGTTGTAAGGTTAACTGCAGCCCTCCCTGGTAGGGCTCCAGCCTGCTGTGGGCTGGCAGCCCCTTCTAGGATAGTAAGGTAGGCCATCCTTTTTGCTATCAGCCGCTCTAAGCCTTTGCCTAAGCAGGATAACAGGGATATCGGGCGCTAAGACCCAGTCTTAGAGAAGTCTGTTTTCCCCAGCTTCTGGATCATAACAACCTCTGCTTTGCGGAAGGGTCTAGGGAAGTAGCCTACCTATACGCAGGCCTAGAAGAGCTGCTGTATAGGCCTAGCTACTAAACCCCAGGTGCATTATAGTAACTTTGTAGTAATCCTATCAGTCCCAGAGGTTGTAGTCTCTGTTAGAGTAGCCTGGCGTACTTCCTCCATACTAACTGTATCCTGCCAGGGTATAAGACGCCTTGCGACTACTGGAATAGCAAAGGGGTTCCCAGGTAAGTCGTCTGCAGCACTAAATCGCTCTAATAAGGCCTTTCAAAAGGCCTGAGCCTTATCGAGGCTATTGCTGATCGTCCGTCCTTCTACTATAAGAGGTAGGGCTTTAACTGCTAAGCTAGACTTCCGCCAGCCTAAGATTTTATATAGGTCTTAGTCTGTCTTAACCTCTTCAATCTTAGCTATCCAGTAGGCGCGTTTTGCCCTTCTGACGGTTATCAGGAAGACTTTCTGCTCCTCTAGGACAGGGGGAGGTATAACTAGCCCTGGTTCTTAGGCCTGTTGGCGCCTAGCCTTAATAGCAGCTTGGTGGGCTTCTGAGCAGTCTTCTGTCCACCAGGGGGCTCCCCTGCCCTGGTTAGTCCGTCTCTTACCTACAGCTTGAACGGCTGTGTGGAAGAGACTAACCAGTTAGGCAGCTAGAGTGTCCAGCTCCGCTGGGCTTAGGTGTTCCCCTGGGGTAGGCAGGGCTGCAGCCCCAGCCTTTACTAGGTTGATAAATCAGGGTAGGGCTGACTCTGGGACTGAGAGGTGGCTAGTCTGGCGTCCCTGTTCCTAGGCCTTGCCTATAGGGATAATTATTATAATAGCTTAGTGGTCAGCCCCTGGGTGTAGGTGTGGGCTAATATAAGCTTCAGCAAAGGGGATATTTGAGAAGGTCAGGTTGAGGGTATGCCTATGAGTATGGGTAGGGGCCCTAACTTCTCCAATAAACAACAGATCATAGACTTCAGCCCACTCTGCAATATTGTCGCCCTGGTTCCAGCTAGGGGTCCCAGGTTCCCAAGAGGAGTGGCAGGCATTAAGGTCCCCAGCAATAAGGGCTCTCTCTGGCGGTTGATAATCTAAAAGGAGGCTGGTTGCTTAGTTTATAGGCTTATCTGGCGGCCTATATATATTCATAATAGTGAGGTCGCCAGCTTTCACCTATAAGATATCTCTTGATTAGGTAGGTCTTTATTGCTGTATCTGCAGCCTTAGACCTTTATATGTGTAGGTTATAACCCTAGGCCTTATGTCTCTGCTGTTCCAGAAGTCAACTGGTATATAGGAGTTAAAGCCTGGGTGTGTGTTAATCTGCATCTTATCTCTATAGCCTACCTAGGGTTCCTGTATCAGGACTATGTCGATCTGATCTGCCCAGCAGAGCTCCAAGAGAGCTGTATGGGCTAGGCTCCTCTTCCCCACATTACACTAGGCAACTCGTAGTACCTGTGGGGTAGCTAGCCTGAGCCTATAGCTCTGAGTTGAGGTTGAGGTGGGTGTAGGTATTAATAACATTATAGTCAGGCTTCTGGGCTACCCTCTGGCTCCTGCTGCTGCTTGGGAGTGGATGGATAGGGCGGTTAGTTAGGGGGGGGAGGGCTTCAGAGTCTTCAGCCTCATCCTCATCCATATTGTTGCTCCCAGCTACACTAGCAGTATCTATAATAACAATTAAGTCTTATGTGGGTGTGAGGGGTTGAGGGCGCTTGGATGCCAGTTGTTGCTCTTGTGTAGCGCTTAGCTTAGCCCTGGCTTGCTGTGTGCTGCCTGGGGCGCAGGCCTGGCTAGCTAGGAGATCATCAGACGCCTTCTCTCCAGCTATCCAGATACCTCGCAGTTCCTTCCGGGTTGGGATAATTAGGTTTCTATTAACCAGCAGAGGCCTAGCTGGGCAGTCTGCATAGCTTGCTGGGAAGGGACCATAGCAGTTAGCACACTTAGACCTAGCTAAGCAGCTCCCAGCCTCATGAGTATCTAGCGGTTTGCTGCAGTTCTCGCAGAGGGGTTTCCAGGTGCAGTAGCAGTTTGAGTGAAAGCCCTGGCAGCCAGGGGAGTGTTGTTTGGGGGTCTGCTTCCTCGGGGGAAGCAGACGGGCAGGGCCTGACTGTCCAAACAGGCGGAAGCCTCCCTTAACCCCTTGAGGGAGGGCGATAATCAGGCTTTGTGTAGCTGTGGCTAGATTAGGGCTATCTCGGGTTGGGCGCCAGGAGAGGAGTCTTTGCTTTGTCTTTAGGAAGACCTCTTCCTCTATTTCAGATTCTATGCTAACCCTACTGCCATCAAGGCTAGTAAAGTAGAGGGGGCAGAATAGGACGATATACTGATGCTACTTAGTAGGTATCTCAACCTTCTCAGCTGTAAGGCAGTTTTTAATCTTAAGGGCTTTCTGAAGAAGTAAGGCTTAGATCTCCTTGTTTTAGGGCTGAAGTGAGAAGCCTGTAGCAGTATAGCGGACCTCAACTAGGTCTTACAGCTGTAAGTTAAGCTCCTTTGTTACCACCATCTTAACTGAGTGAGGGGCTAGGGTTCTAGAGGTAGGTATATGTTCTGCTGGGAGCCGAACTAGTAGGCGGAGGTCCTAGGTCTGTTTAGGCTGGCGTATGCAGCTGGTGGCCCGCCGGCCTGTTACTAGGTTCGGCCTGGGGCTGGAGCTGGAGCTGGGGCTGGGGCTAGGGCTGGGGCCGCTAGCGGTAGAGTCACTAGCTGCCTAGGCATACGTTTTTCCTGTGCTGGGGCTGGGGGTGGGTCCAGAGATTTCTGCGGTCGCAAACCGGGTAAAGGTATCGATGAGGTCCTAGGCTGTAGCCTTTAGTCGTGCTGGGGCCGTCCTAATGAGGGCATCTAGGCCTTTGGCGAGGAGGTCTAAGGCCTCATCTCGGAGGGCCCGACCCTCTCGAGCCTGCTGGAGGGCGGCGGCGGCCGATCGTGGCCCCCTTCCCAAGGGCCGGATAGGGGGGGGCGTGAGGCCCCTCGGTCGTGGAGGTAGGGAGGTAGGGGGAGGGGGGGTCCGGGGGAGGCTATGTATAGAGGATGAGAGGCCTCTAGGGGCCTGCGAGGGGCCCGCGGCTGGCTGCGAGGCCATCGCGGGCGAGGGTTCTAGTTGTATGGGATGGATTTGGTAGTGTTAGTGTTGATGTGGCGGACCCGGCGCGGCACTAACAGTGGGTGCCGGTGGGGTTGTATGTAGGAGGGAAGTGTCAAAATAGTGATGATGTGTCGTGGCGTCCGAGAAATCGTGAAGTTTGCTCAAGTCGGAAGCCCGGGCGTTTGTTCCCCAGTGGCAGTGGCCGTTCATGCAGAGTGGCTGGGCTGTGTTTGTCACTACTAAAATCAAGAGTGACAATTCTTCCCTTTCTTTCTTCCCTTCACGGGCTTTCATAGATAACCCCTCCTATCTACAAAGTGAAATGTACATGCTCCATGGCATCCAGAGGAAAAGGTTGGGTCCCTACCTATAGGTATAGTAGGCGGGCATGGTAGGCAGGCATGGTAGGCAGGGTGGTAGGCAGGCAGAGTAAGAAGGCAGATATGGCATGCAGCCAGTAACCCCGCCACCTTCCGCTTCAGACAGTCCGCGTCAACGCGTCGAGAAAGGCCCCACCGACCGACCTTTGTGCTTTTTTTCGTGCTCCTCACACTCACCTCTCACACCACTTCTCTCCAGACTGAATATCAAGGTTGCGTCTCGCCGTCACCCTTGCAGAGACGGCAAACGGCAGGCCCTCGCCCAAACCCACCTCCTGCCAGATCGTCTCTTTCTCCCCGCCCAAGATGTCTTCCGTCATCAATCCCACCGGTAAGCAAAAGATGAACTTCGTTTCTTCTGCACCTGGCTTTTGCCCTGCTTTCCATGTGCCGTTCAACGCTGACACAGGCAACCGCCACACAGCCACCAAGCCGAAGTCGAAGTTCCAACAAACCACCCTCGCGAGCGCATTCGGCACCTCCGCCACCAGCCGCCCCTCTCTGCTGGCCACCAAGCCAACGGCCAAGCCTGTCAACGCCGTCTAGAACCCGGCGAGCGACAGACCCAACACCGAAGTCTCCGCCGACGCAGTCCTCGCCAATGCAGTTCCCCCCGAGATCATGAACGGCCGCGCCGGCGTTCACCCCGACCACGGCCTGCTGATCATGTACAAAGTCCGCGATACCGACCCCCGCGACGGCAACAACGAGACGTGGAAGTTAGCGAAGCGCATCGACCCCGGTGTCGTCCGCACATACTGGGACAAGGTCACGGCCAGAACCGGCATGACGCAGCGCGCCTGGCTCTCCCGCGTGCGTTTCAAGTACCGTGTCGAGCTCGCCAAGTTAGAGAACCGAAAGGCCGGTGCCACCGCCACCACCAAGAAGCGCAAGCGCCGTATTGTCGAGGAAGACGAGGATAGTGACTACAAGCCGCCGGGTGCTTGATCGACATCGGGACATATGTGTTTGCGGATCATCCAGGGGGTCGGTTTTCTGTCACAGGTGATGATGCTCGCAATGACGAGCAGCTGGACGGAAATCTTTCCTGCTTCGGGTTCGGCATGCTGCTTTGTTCTCCAGGCGGTGGTGTCGATTGGTATTGGGGCAACGCAGCAAGTTAGAGGATGCTCTGCGTTCATGTTGAGACATGCAGTCACAAATTCAGTCACACAATCATGTCATCTCCACCCACAGCAATGCGTCTCTTACGAGATCAGAGAGCCGTCCATTTTGAGTGGCGTGAGCTTAGCATTCGTGTTTGCTTGCATGAAGTCGATCAAGGTAACTGTTTGCGTGAACTAAATCAGCCAAGACTCGCTCCGAGTAATGAGGATATGGGCAAAGCGCCAATAGGAGGATGAAGCATCCTGATAGATGATGACCATGACCTGAACACCATCTGCGAAAAGGTTCCTGAAGCCTGCTGCATCGCATCACAGCCCATGGTGGCCATGTATCTCATGCACAAATGGCACAAGGCGCGTCTTTTTGGAAGAAGTGATTGATCGTTATGATGAGCTACCAGAGAAAATAGTCGAGGATCCAATAGTCCATCCGCTGCTACCAATCCTCTTCCCTGCACCTCCGTTTTCAACCTTTCAGGATGACCTTCAGCGAGCGCAATCAGCCAAGCACAGAAATTCATACCGTATCCGCAAGCGTACACCCGAACATTCCTGGCCGGATCGAGGGTGAAGCTTAGTGCTCAGGGAATCTAGGAAGTCTGGACCATCCATCGCAGTAAGATCGGATCAACAGATGTTCATGATCGCTTGGAAAGTTAGGAAACCTAACGGATAGAGCTCATGGTGCAACGGTCAGGGTATTGACTGAAAACAATTGATTTAACTTGAAAGCCATGGTGCTTCCAGTCATGCGCGTTCGAAAACACAAACTTCAACTGCAAGTCAAACACGGTTGAAGATAGGCTCATGAGCGGTTTCGAGTATGCTGGGAGCTTCACGAGTCAGTTCGTGTGTCAGGGACCCAATAGACGTGAAACCCATCAACAAGATGCAGCTTTAGAGGTAAGCGGCTTGCCTGGTTGAGGTCCGAATAATCTCCAACGTGCAGGTAGTACGCGAAAGGTCTCCACAGTTTTGGAGCCGGTGAATCGCATGGGCAGTTGATAGTGCTTTCTCCAGCTGTTTCTGTTGAGATTTGAGATGTTATCGTCAGATTAGCGGGGGATGATGGCCTGGAAAAGTATCGACATGGTTGGTCACCGGCTTCACCAAGTCTCGTTCGTGGTTGAAGTGCATGTGCTTGGCCTCTGAGTGAATGCCATTGCGATGTATACAAGCCAATAGATCCTGAAGTCCTGAGCATTGGTGTGCACCTGCTTGGCTCTGTGCCGACAACCTCCTGTAAGCGTCCAGCCTCTTCCGTGAGACGATCGGAGAAACAGCAGTGCGCCAAGCCGGGGGCCGGACATGATCGAGGCTATGGCAGCCGCCCAAGATGTAGCAAAGGATGTGGGTTTGGTAGGAAATCTCGTCGATAACTTCGTGCTTTAAGATGTTGAGAATCTAGAAAGTAGTCTGCCGATGAGTCGCATTAAAGTTGATTGTGTGTTTCAGAATGGTCGGATGGAAAGAGGAGGGCATTGTGTCCAAGGGAAAACGAAGGATGAGGCACGCAGTGCAGCTATATCTTTGGGAAGCGGGTGCTGAAGCCAATGTAAATACCAGATTATCTTCTTGATTTCAGCATGCAATAGTTCGCTAGTTCTTTTCATCTTCAATGCTGTTCGATATGGCGTCCTCATCCATCACTGGAAGCACCAAGCCACCACACTAAGACGGAGCCCGTCAGACTCTGACTCTGAGAAAGCAGCAAGTCCTGTCCATTACAATTATCCACTGCGAGTAGTGGGTCAAGATGGGATAACGGCGGGGTGGTGTATGCTTCGCTCAAAGCTTCACTCTTGTTATCTATTAGAGAGGCTTGTCCTCGATGCAGCGGCCTATTCTACTCTCTTAGGCATAATGCCTTTCATAAGCCTCCTATCAAACTATGATTTTCTGCTATTGGTTGATTCTCAAGACTGCTAACTTCCTGAACATGATCTTTGTTTTTCTTGCCAAACCTGATTACCTAGGTCGAGATACCTGGCGGATTCTTCGAGAAGAAGGCTTTGCGTTGTCGGACGTCATATAATCCAGGTATCCCGTCTCTCCCACATTCTAATGCTTGTCATGGGACTTGCGTCATTCTTGCCAATCAGGTTCCCTTTTAACGTGCTTCTGTGAAGTCTGATTTGTGCTCACTCCGTCCATACGAGAGCAGCATTAATTTACTCTTAAGTTTTGCTGAGGACACCAAAGACGCGGGAAGGAAATCCAAGCCTTTCAATTTGATCTGAAGATCCTTAATCAACCAAGTTTAAATCTTATACCAAGTATGCCGGTAACTCATTCTACTCAGGTCACTGCCAACTTTTTCGAAGAAAAGAACGGCATCCTATTGTAGGGTACGACGGTTAACACCTATCTTTCTGAGATCGGCGTGTTGAATTACATCTCAACGAAACCTATAGCAAAGGTTTTCAAGATTCCAACCTTCATTTCGTCAGTGATACCTTACAATAGCCCCTTGGCAGCATCGAAGGTAGCCCGGAACTCCTGATAGTAGTCTTAGCTCAGCTCGTCTCCAAACATTGGAGCCACGTTATTCGCGTTACTTACACCGTGTGAAACTAACCAGCCACCTCAGCTGAAGTTTTAATTTGCCTACCACTTATAGACGTGAAAGATACGACTGATCGGTCATAGTTGAGACAGAAGCTAGCGCATTTACGACGAGCTCTACTTAATGTATTTGCCGAGATTTTGTGAAGGTCCGAAACCATCATGGATGTCTACGCTCGCCTACTCCAAGATGACACCTCAACACTACAAGTATCTCAGCTATTCTCTCTCAGAAATCAGCCACGAAAACATGTAATCTGGTGCCCGGTTTATCCAAAATCTGGACCGTTCACAAAAGCATCGTCAAATTCATCAAGCTGGCATCCAATCCGGGAAGGGGTGGGCTCGGAGGATGACCAGCAGCCTGCTTCATCATCTAGTCGACTTTACCATAATCCCGGGCCATGGCTTCCAACATGAAGAAACACCGCTTCATACGAGTGAACCGCATTACGAGAGCACTGCTATCGCGTTGTTTCGTGTTAAAAATTGTCTGACACCCCAGTTTCACTATTCTCCGCATCGCTGCATGATGATTACGCTACACAGCGCCGAAAACTTCTTCACTTCTACCAATAGGGACGTCGACGCTACAGGCGACAGCAACAATGGAGATAATCTTCTCGAAACAGTCTCCTCAAACTCTCAGAAATCTAGACCGTAGATATACTGTTGAGTATCGAGGAAACCATCCAAGTGGCGCTTGGGAGGGAACCTCTCAGATGTTCTTCCAATCTGGTTCGTCCTGATGGTAAATGAATACCACATAATGCATGTGATGAGAAGGATGGTCAAGTCGCCTCCTGCACAGGCTGTTGAACTTCAGCCGATCGATCCGGTCAAGATCCTATCTTAACTGCTGTTTAAGTGGAGCTCCATCTTCACGCATAGTGACAACCTACTCAGTTATTCCATGTCGGAACGCGTCGAGATACGGCCGTCCGTGTACAGCCATTGGCCCGACCCGTCAGGAGCCCCGCTTGCCCCCCCCCCCTGCCCGACTTGGAAATCTCGACGCGTTCCCTATGGTCTCTGATTGGCCGGCATTGACTTCAGTGTCTCCACCTTCAACTGAAATCTCGACGCGTTCCGAAATGAAACCTCTTCTCCTGACTGACGGTTCGTGAACTGGGACGAAGAGTAGTAGGTCAATAGCTTCTGCTATAGAGAGTGAGGGAAAACAAAGAAAAGTAAGCAAGAGAGAAAGAAGAAAAAAGTTTATAGGGAAGTAACAATTAAGAAGAAAGCAGGGGAAAAAAAAACCGTTTTCTATTACAACTCTCTCATTGGAGAAGAACGGTTGAATCAGTTCCTAGCGAAACATGACTCTCCCATCTCCCCTTCCGTCGTCGCCGCCGTCCAGGCCCACGGCACCGCACAGCTTGACGGACAAGCAACGCCGGCGCCTAGAAGCCTTGCAACTGCATTTAAACGAGCCTGAGCCCGTCCTTATCTGCCGGCCTTGCGGCTACGCCTTGAAGCCGTTCGGTGAGCGCGTGAGCCGCCACCTAGCCGAGAAGCATGAGGTTCCCAAGCCACAACGCTGTGGACTGAGCGCTTTAGTGAAGTCCCTACATCTAGGGGACCTAAACGACGTTGCTCTCCGTCCCAACGGCCTCCCACCGCACAAAGCGCTGATGGTTACCTGTGGCCACGCCTGCTGCCGCTGCAGCTACCAGACGGCAAGCGATGACCTGATTTGCCGCCATATCGCAAAGTCGCACAGCATTAACGGCTTGCGGAAGACGGACGGCTGGCAACAGGACCACATCCACAGCGGCGTCCTGCTACAGAGCTGGTCGCAGAATGGTGCCTAGGGCTTCTGGATAGCCCAGCCTACCGCAGCGGGGTTGACGCCGCCCTGCACGCTCTGCTCACCGCAGCTCACAATGCGGAAAGAGCCCACCTCGCCAGCGGTCTCTGTGCTACCGCTTCTGCCACGGGGCCTATCGATATTACATTCCAGACCGGCTGGATGCATCGCACCAGCTGGGATCTTATGTTCGACAGCGCCCGCTGCGACTTCCTCGTGAAGATGTCAGAGCTGCCGGACGCCAGCCGGCATGTTGAAGACGACATGCCCTATGCGAGCCCCCCAGAGGACGAAGCCCGGCTACAACGTATTATGTCAGCCGTGGACGGCGTCTTCAACCGCTGCGAGGATACAATACGCTCCATGGATATCTCCATGCGCTGTTGGCTCCGCAGCACGGAGCCTCACCACCTGTATAAGGCGCCATTTAAGCTTGTCGGCCG